GCGAGACAAATAAAAAAAAAAAAAAATAAAGGGTGAGTACGTAAACAAAAGGGCGAACTAAATGAAACGAAGGAGAGTGGAGCGAGCTATTCTTCAAGCCGGACACAATATATTGCGTCCCGAAGCACAAAAATACCCAGCCGTGCCAGCCGTGCCCCCGACTGGACGTAAGCTATATTTTCCTTAAAAAGCCCTTGTACAGCCATAATTACTTTACTCCTCCGAAAACCCCCGCAAACTTATTCCACGGGTCCGCCGCGTGGAAGTAAACATTATTCAGCCGTGATTAGGAAGAACGCCGTATCAACATTCGAGAGTTGCTAAATTTCCCTTGATAAAACATGGATTTTTGACAACATTCACGCATAGCTTTCCTTAAAATTTTCAGATATTTTAGATTAAATTCCATACAAAAATGTCTGAAAATTTTGGAAAATAATATTCGCAATTTTCCCAGTAAATCCGGTTTTTATCGGAGGGAGCTTAGCGACGTCTGAAGGCTCATACGGCGTTTTCCCATAGCACGACAGTATTCCAGCCTGATCCTTTTTATGCGCTCGCCAAGTGGACGGACCGCCCCGATAATTCATGCTCTTTCCACTGTTGTCGAATTTCGGGTAAGTAGTACTATTATTAAAGGTAAAAATTGTAAGATTTTCAAAAATGAAAATTTGAAAGTAGCTGCATCCCTCGATTGCCGTTGTGTACCAATATTTCGTTCAGATTTTTACGTAAAAAAAGAGCAACCATGAGAACCCATCTAAATGATGCTCATTCAGTCGTGCTGCGAAAAAACGTTCTATGGACATTTGCACGTTGCAAAATATCTTCCGAAAACATAAGAGTTTCCCCGGACAGCAAGTGAACTATTCAAATTAAAAATTTCAAATACTTCAATCCAAAGTTATTTCAAGAGTATATGAAAATTCCGTGGATAATTATTCGTATCTTCCTCTAAAATAAACATTCCACTTGAAATAATCTGGTTAAATTTGAATGCTCTTGCAGCATCCCTCCTGAGCACAACAGAAAGTCGTTTTCCAGACGATGGAACATAACTTTGATTACATAACTGACTGAATGAATTCAATTTATTAAAATTGGATTACATTTCGCAATCAGGAAGTAGAAATTCTGGCACACAATCAGATTAAATACAACGTATGCAACATTGGCTGTCCTCTGCACATAAGTGTTTTTACAAATGAGCCAGAAATTTCGGTTCCTAAATGCAAGATGAAGTTCAACTTTATGACCGCGAAAATGCAGCCCAACATTTTGCTGATATTTGCGTGTAAACAGAGGCAAAATCGGTGAGATTTTCAATTTGTAAAAGTAAAATTTACGAGTAAAAATTTTGCAACGGTGAAATGTAGTTTCGTTCTTTTTCACCAGGAAAACGAAAATTAAAAAACCTTTGATGAGCAATTTTCAGTAGCAATGTTTCCTTCTTAATTCTCAAACATGACAGTAAACATTTTGTAACTAGAAATAGGCTACAAATAATCTGCTTTAAGCAATGTGTATGACATCATAAGTGGTGAGTCAATCTGGCAACGTCAATTAACATAATATCTGAGCCGCTTTATTTGAATCTTCCCACACAAAAGCGGGACGGTACGAGGGGTCATTCGTTTTAGCGGCTTGATTATAAGCAAACAACCAGACGCATACACGACTCTTTCCCAGTATGTAAATTTCGTCTATTGTCACACTTGTGGTTAATTACCGCGAAATCGCTTTGCGACAGTATTATGATTTGTTTTCATCTGGCATTATCGGCACAAAGTAGGGTGGGCGTTTTCTGGATTAAACTGGGGTTGAGATTATACAAACTCCCGCTGAAAGGCTCAAAACAGATACAGCTCATCCACGCTACGGCTGAGCGGCTCTTCGAGAACTTGGAAAAAAATATTGGCTTCAAATCCTCGTTTTCCTTACAAAAGAACCTAACTTCATTCAATGTTGCCAGATTTCCTACTGGGAATTGGATTTTCACCAAGAAAATCCTGGACGGGAAAAAAATGTGTCTGGGGTAATTCCCCAAAATTAAGGTATTACCCAAATTTCTTAGAGGAAATAAGCAATGGACATTTCCAATTAATTGTGGCAATACCGCAACATTTGGGTTAGTAAACTAATATATTAGGTTACTACTACATTCAATTGGAAATGTTCATATCATCCACCAACCCCTACCTCTTTTTCCCATGTGAATATTCCTGACCGCAAAGTTCACCCATTTTCTTCTCATCTCATGCAAAAATCAGAAAAAAAATGTAGGACAAAATTGCAGAGGTACATTCTTGTAAGAAATTTAATATGAGTCAATTTTGCAACCTTGGAGTGGAATTAAAATCCTTCGCCAGGAAACGGTGAAATCATAAAAATTAAAATAAGGAGAAAATGCTTTTAAGCTATCTACAGGGTGTCTCACGAAAAACGAGCCACCTTGAATATCTGCCGAACGCGTCGGAGTTTCGAAAAACGGTAAAAGACGTGTTCGTTTCTATCGAGGGGGACACCTTTTGGCGTATTCGACATTTTCCCAAACCGCGGGAGGGGCGCGGGGCGGGGGGTGCCCCACCCGTAAGTCGAACTTTTCAAATGGCACCCCTACTTTTTTATTTCAGAAATCA